TTAACATTTCATTGAATAATAATATAAAATATTTTCTACCAACCATGTATCAAATTGAAACTCAATTTTTATTGTAAAACAAGATAATACACGAATACCAACATTAAAGTGTCTACAGTAATATCTTCAAACACTTAGTATTAATATTACTTTTACATAAATTTTTTTAATAAACAAGAAATGTTGTCCCATATCAAAGTCATCAACATGTCACAAGTTTATAAAATTTATTTCAGAAGAATAGGTTGTGAATTAGGCAAATGATTAGAAAACCATATTTTTTTAATCAGATCAAAGCAAAACCGCGTAATTTAGGATCTCATATATTGATATATTTATTTTTGAAACTATTTTTTGATAAATCCTCAAACATAATAACCACAAAAAAGTGATAATCATAAAATAATTATTCTACTTATATTTTCTTCTATTCATGTTCTCTAAAAATGAATAACCACAGCTTTTCTTACCTTTGATGCTTCTAAAGGCCTTTCTGTTTCTAGCATTAATTTTAGGAGTTTAGTGTTTGTCATTTCAAACGATACAATTTTGTGTCATTTTCTTTAATTTATAAAATTAAAACGAAAAAGAAAATGAAAGAGAGAGAATGTAAAAACTTACCAAAACGACATAGTTTTTATAAAATTGACATAACTTTGTGTCATTTAAAATGACAAATATGTTTCCCTTAATTTTATAATAATAATGATATTTATATGTTATTTTTGTTAAACTATTCTTAAAGGGGAATGTTATATTTACAAATTTTTTGTTTACAAACTCTACAAACTACACTATGTCTGACCAGTAGTACACACTTGAGTAGAGTATTACCAATTAGACATAGTTAGGGGTGTCAATATGGGTTTTGACACGCGGGTCAACCCGCGACACGACACGAAAATTCGTGTTCGGGTTGACTCGTAAAAAAATTCGTGTCGTGTTCGTGTTGGAAAAAATGACACGCAAAAAATTCGTGTCGTGTTCGTGTTTATGAATTCGTGTTCGTGTCGACCCGTATTATTTTTAATTATTATTATTATTTTTTTTTTAATTTTTTATTTATTTTCGATCTATTTTTTTAAATTTTTTTGTCAATTACCGTTTTGTCCCCTATTTTGCGTGTTATTCGTGTCGTGTCGTGTCAACCCGCAAAAAATTCGTGTCGTGTTAGTGTTGAAGATTTTGACACGAATGAAAATTCGTGTCGTGTTCGTGTTGATGTATTCGTGTCGTGTCGAATTCGTGTCGTGTCAACCCATATTGACACCCCTAGACATAGTGTAGTTTGTAAAAAAAAATTGTAAACAGATCATTCTCCATTCTTAAACCATTCTTTTATTAATGAAATAAAAATCACATATTCCAACACACAACTTTTTTTATTTTTTTCTTAAACTTAAAAATATTAAGAGAAAAACTCTTTAGTAATAAAGAATTTAAAAAATGGGTTTAATATTTTTTCATATCATAGGAGATAATTTTATCTCCTATAAATAGAGGTGTAAATAGGTTAGGCTAGACTTTGACTTAAATAGGTCTGGTCTGACTTGTTAGCCTATGTAAGCTCCAAATTACAAGTCTGACTTGACCTATATTTAAAAACTAAATGCATTGGCCCAAGCCTGTAAGCCTATTTAAGTCTATTAAATATTCAACAATTAAAATAATAACTAAAATAATATTACTGTATTATTCAAAATTATTAAAATAATAATTTTATTTATTTAATTTAAAATAAATAATATGATATAGGCCGACCTGTAGGCTTATAGGCCTGTCATATACAAAAAAGTCTATGGCCTATTTTCTAAATAGGTTTTTTTTAAAGTCTAGACCTGTTCTATTTTACTATTTGCAATAGGTCAAGTCTGGGGTAATATAGGCTAGGCCATAGGCCCCCTGTAGGCCGACCGAGCTAATTTACACCCCTACTACTAACACATAAAAGTATGAGGTGCCATGTGAAGAGAAAAGAAAAATATGGACTCCACATATTTTTATATGTACGTAGAAGATAAAATTATTTCATATAATATAAAAAATACTAATTCCTCAAATAATTTATTATAAATTCAAACGGTAGTGCCTATTGTGTATATATAATTAAAGGGTACCATAGATTTTATGGCTTTAATAGCTCTTATGTTGTTGCAAATCAGAAAATTTACCGCAACATTTATTTTTACAAGGATATGATTCTGTATTTCAGAAATTTTTTTTATTCCAAGATATAGTTCAGTATCCTGATATTAATAAGTTTGTTATAACTGAAACGAGGAACCAAATTTTATATCCGCAAATATCATTGTTCGAGGTTTCATATTATTAACCAATCAGCAAATAGGAGGGTAGCGACTCTGCTGGTTTAGTATTATATGTAGGCAATACCGATGGAAAGCTATGACCCAACCTTATTCCTAATAACGTAATTCCCAAAAACTCCTTTATGTAATCCTAGCTAGCTTCCTTTGAATTGTTTGTGCTGCTTTTAGTGTGGGGATAAACCGATTATAAAGTTCGAGCTTCTTTCGCAAGCTTAACTTAGGTTTTGAGCAACTTTTGAGATATTATTATTAATTACATTTCACAATGAATATGAGGAAAGCAAAGAAAATTGTAAAGTAAGAAATAATTACCATATGGGTGGGGAACCGGGACAGTTTAGCTTAGTTTTTCCCATAATGAGAATCGTAGACATTATCAAAATAATCAGTTATGGTATCTATCCGAAATAATTAGTAATCATTTTCCCATTTTTTTGCTTTGGCCCTCTATCTGCTTCTGCGTCCCTACTCCTTTTACTTTCACTTATTATCACAAAATGAATGCGCTTCTCATTTTAATTATTTGGATCCCTCACTGGCCACTTATTACGCTCTATGGTTTTCAAGCAACTTTTTTTTACCTCCTCTTTGCTTTCAAATTATGAAACCTGTAGCTTTGTAAGCAAACACAACCCTACCCATCTGTAAAGTATACTTTTTTTTCTCTCTTCAAATTAACAAGATAATCAAAGAAATAATAAAAACTCATATATTAATTGTGAATAGACAGTGTAACCCGAAGAATAATATTGTATTTTATTAATTATCGTTGTCATTTATTTTGCTTATTAGAGTTGCATTTATCTTGAAAGTTATGCATGGTATGGGGTATGAGGGAGAAGAAAAAAGGTAACGAAATATTGTGCTTTGAGATTATTATATAAGGGAGGTGGAAAAAGCTGTGAAATTTTCCCAAAATTTCTTCAAAGGAACTTTCGGGGCCAATAATTCAAGCACCTGGACACGTCAGCAGATGAAAGCCGAGCCGCAGAAGAGCCAAAGTTGGAGGCTCAATGTAAAAGTGAGGGAAAGCTAAACAAGGGTAGCTAGAGCTAGCTATTGTAAGCTAGTGACTAAAAGGTACTAGCGGCCAGAGAGAGCATACGTCTCTAGCACACATGATATGATATGATATTGAAGTTTGAAATATGTGTTTTTTCAATAAGAAAAAGAAGGAAGAAGAAGAAGAAGAAAAGAAAAGGTAGAAAGAGATCATATATAGAAGCAACGGAAGGAAGAAATGTCGTCACCCGGAACAATCTTTAATTCCTATCACGCAGTTCGATGTATCATCTGCCTTAGAGATGTGCAATAGAAAATTGATTCGATATTAGTGACTTTGTTCGGTTGGTGACATTAAACAACAAAAGGAAAGCTACAAAGTGAAGAGAGGACACTCGTTTTACGTGAAGTGAAACTCACCTTCTTCACATTTCTCTTCTCACTTCAATCCAATAATTTATTAGGAGAAGAAGAAAAATGAAACGTCAATACCCAAAATCCTTATTGTAACGGCCGATTAATTATTTTAAACATTTAAACAGTTGAGCAAAAAAATAAATTTTATATTTAACATTTTTTTACGTAAAATTTGTTAAAGCTTATAACGTGAATAATATATAAAATCACCTTATCTTATACTAATAAGAATCAAATTTTATATCGCATAATCATAAATCATATGATATTCTACCGTTAACCAATTATGTCAAAATCTTAAAGTCGTGATACAAATCACACGAATTTTGTATTTAAAAACAGTTTCTGAGAAATCAGATCAATTATCCCATTTAACTAGATTTCTTTACCTTTTTGAATTGGAAATAGAAATAACTTTGATGGCATAATCATTAATTCCAATCTAATGACCATATAACCACTTCGCATATTATCCTCAGAGGCACTGAAAATGGAATTATTACAATCCCGTTAACACAAAAATATTAAAACTTTTTTAATCTGCCCACAAAATTTAAAATGCATGGGGAAATAATGATAATTGGAAAAGAGTCTAAGATTGGACATGTTTGACTGATTGCTACTAATGGAATCGGTATAAGTAAAAGAAATATAAAAAGGGTTGAGTTGAGGAAGGGTTGAACGGTCAATTTGCAAAAGATGACAGCACCGCTCTGCGCTTTCTTCCTCTTGTGCGTGATTTTAAGTGGGTGTGCGCGGGATCAATGTCAGAAACTCAGAAGGCTCTCTGTATCAAAAACATATACGCACACACGTAGAAGGTCAGAGAGAGAGTCACGGGTTTGTCTTGAAAGGCCCTTATTTCACAGTCCTAGACAGACAGACACATATTCTCTCTCACTACATAACCGATGAGGGAAACAAAAATATAATGCCCCCTACCAGACACTATCCTTTCAACTAAAACAACACCTGAATTATTTTAATTTTAAACACACATATATAACAAAAAATAAAATAAAAAATAAGAAAGACATAAGTATAAACAAACCGCATTACACAGTAACAAACGCTAGTACTACAGTACATATTCTATGCCCCCTCACTTTCTCTCTCTCTCTCTCTCTCCTCTCCTCTAAACATTTTTATCCCTCATCACCATTCTTCATCCTCACTCACTTCCACATTTTTACACTCATAGACTCTCTCTCTCTCTCTCTCTCTATCTCTCTCTGTTTCTGATCTTACTGTGAAATGGCTCTTCTGCTAGACAACTGTGAAGGCATTTTACTCTCTTTAGAGTCGCATAAATCGGTGCCGGCACCGTTCCTCACGAAGACATACCAACTGGTAGATGATCCCAACACAGATCACATAGTATCTTGGGGCGAAGATGACAGCACCTTTGTTGTTTGGCGTCCTCCCGAGTTTGCTAGGGATCTTCTCCCTAATTACTTCAAGCACAACAATTTCTCAAGCTTCGTTCGCCAGCTCAACACTTATGTACATTTTCGATACACACGCCATCTCTAGTGAAATTAATTTCTATTTATATTTTATATATTCGTCAAGTTGTTGTCTTTTTTTATATTCTTCTAACTTTGTGTTTTTTTTTTTTATTGTGGATGCTTTTCAAACACATAAACTAGGGTTTTAGAAAGATTGTGCCAGAAAGATGGGAGTTTGCTAATGAATTCTTCAAGAAGGGAGAGAAACACTTGTTGTGCGAGATCCATAGAAGAAAAACGGCACATCCTCAACAAATAGGGATGAATCATCATCATCACCACCACCATTCTCCAATGGGAGTCAACGTTCCAAGTTTCTTTCCGTTCTCCAGTACTAGCAGCAGAGTCAGCATCTCTCCGCCCAATGACTCTGACGAACAAGCCAATTGGTGTGACTCTCCGCCACTCACTTCACCAATTAGAGGAGCCACTTCCGTCATGAACAACGGAGCCAACTACAACAGTTCCGTCACTGCGCTTTCTGAGGACAACGAAAGACTCAGGCGAAGCAACAACATGCTCATGTCCGAGCTTGCCCACATGAAGAAGCTATATAACGACATAATCTACTTCGTTCAGAACCACGTCAAGCCAGTGGCTCCAAGCAACTCTTACTCTTCTTCTTTGCTACTCTGCAATACGCCACAAGCGTCCACTGCAACTCCCATAAGTACTAGTAATGTTTCAACGATGCAAAGGCCAATGAACCAGCTTCTGGGGTATTATTCTAATAACCCTAAGCAAGCCACTCAACCTCAACCTCAAACCCATGCTGTGAACTCTCCCACCAACACATCAAGGAGCTCTATAACGTTTGTTGAAGGACCAAGCAGTAACAGCAGCAAGACTAAGCTTTTTGGGGTCTCGCTACAGTCCAAGAAAAGGGTGCACCCTGAGTACGGATCTAATCCCACGAATTTGGAGATGAATAAGGCTCGTTTGGTTTTGGAAAAGGATGACTTGGGCTTGAATCTAATGCCTCCTTCCAGTTGTTAGTTCCACTGTTTCTCTGAAAATCCCAAACTTGTTAGCTACTTTCTTTTACTTGCTTGATTTCTTTTCTTTTTTTCTATTATTATTATTATTTTTAAAATTTTTAAATCCCTCAAGTTTTGAGTACTCTTCGAGAAGGTAGATGATATTGATGGAAACATGTTATGCGTGCGTGAGTGCGTGACTGTTTGTGATTCTGTGTACATACAACTTAGTGCCGATATTATCTTTGTTCTCCCCCACCCCATCATGTATTGATGTAGGTGAGTTTTGGTTAGATTAAAGACCAAATTAAAGCAAACTATTAAATGTTCAACGCCTCTTTCGGGTTGAGTTTTTATCATTTTCATTGGTGCAATTTATTGCCCTCGATTGTGTGGGATCGTTTTCTTTTCGTCCTGTTCATCATCTCTTTTGCTGATTTTGATATCTGTCTGCATGCTTGACTTACATTAATGCCTGCTCAAGAGAGAGAGAGAGAGAGAGAGAGTTAATGATAAAGAATTCCTTACAGTTTCATTGGCTAAAAAGCTGAGGAACTGAGAATGTAACAGGCTGGCTGGCCTAAAGACAAATTTCTAAGTCTTTCTTGATGAAGCCCCATTAATGGTTTCCATGTACGAAGCAAAGAACACAAAATACTTTGCATCTCAATTCAAAAACCGATGCAAAGTCGAGCCATATTACAAAAGATTCATACTAATAAAGGAGCTGACAGCAAATGACAGATTCGTTCATCAAAAACTTATTATTACAAGTACGATTTTTCGTTTAATTAAATAATATATGGTGATTAATAATTATTAATCTTATTATTTTATTTTATTTTTTGTGGAGATAGAGTATAGTACTATGACTTATGGAAAAAGAAGGTTATCATAGCGTCTCATCGAGCGAGGTATATAATTCTACTTCTCGTATTTATGACTTGTCAGTTGAGCAGAGAAGGAAACCCGCTCTAAGGAGAAATAGAGAGATATGATAATGGGAATAAAATATTCAAAATCGTGTTGAAGATTTATAAGAAAAGAACAAGGAAGTGAATTGTTCAATGAAAGGGAAATGTCAGGGAAACTTGACTAAAAATGTTATTTGAAATGTTTCTATCAAAGCTTCTTCTATACTTCTTAGGACCAGAAACCTTTGCCTTTCCCCACTTTTAAGTAGTCATCTGATTAACGTTTTCACGGCACTCTTCGGATTCCACTTTCTTCTTATTCCCCCAATTTCACTCTGGGGTCTTTTTATTTTTCACGCTTTTGCTTCTTACAGAGAGAAGAACACGAGCACGGTGAAAGAGAGTAGTGCCTTGACCGGTGAATAAACATTGAATAATATATGATGCGCCTTTGCCCCAAGTTCATGACTCTTGCTCTTTTGAGTTGAGTCTTCATTTCTTAACGCATTGTCCTACTCCTACATTACTATACGGGTAAAGTGTCCCATAAAGTTTAATTTGTCTTTGCATTTTAACAGGCTATTGCTTTCTTTGACTCCAGAGTTGAGTCTTTTCATAAATATACCACATATTATATTCCTAGGCATTCTTTAATTTCATATACATATATATAGTATATTCCTGCGGACTGCGGAGTATTAAAATCTCAAACAGAGAAACTCTGAGAGATATCAGAGAAAGCATGATAAGAAATATCTAAACATATGGTTGAAGTTAAGAAGAATATAAATTTTCCACCAAAAGAAAAAAAAATATAAAATAATATAAAACCGGTATGATTTCATCTCATAAGAACCAAAAAGTGTAAAAATAATAAAAAGACCGAATCGAAAGATGAAAAACCCTAACCCTAGTTCAGATAAGTCTATGTTTCCTTGTATCTTTAATTTAATTTTTGGGTTCCTTTTAGGTGAGTGTCGCACGTGATAAATGTTTGCACGCGTAGAAGCAAGCAGGTAGGACTAGAGAATGCAGATTAGTGAGATGGAGTCGGACTTTGAAGAAGATAAAAGTGGGTGACGGGTTTCAAAAGTGGATACCGATGAAGAGGGTAAAGAAGCTTTGGATTTAAGACTTTTTAAGTGCATTTGAGCTGTTCGAACCACTCACTAAAAGGAGTATTCATAGCATTATAAAACCCAAAATTAATAAATAAAAACTTAAAAAGAACATTTGTGGTTATGACAAAAAATAATTATACACACGTTGAGTTACGCTTTGCTTTGTCACCAGCTTGTCCCCTTGATATGCACCTAGTTTTTTATACATCCCTCCAATCAAAATCAAACAACAAATATCAATGCTGACATGTAATAAAAAAAGTGAGGTTTCAAATACATATATTAGATTTTAAATGAAAGTAATATGTATTACTGATGTGGTACAATAATGAGGCAAAGGCCCCAGGAACAGCAAAAACAAAAAGAAAAACAGCAGAAAAAACAGAAACCAGAGAATCAGAAAAGAAAAACAGCAGCAGCTCCCAATCAGTCAGGGTTCCTCTCGAAAGAACTGCTGGGCTGCACATAGAAAAGTACCAAAATCCGGGTTAGCATATATTTACATGGGCCAAGAAGAACCATCACAATCATGCATGCAGCCCAGTTGTATCTAAACTAACCTGGAATATTGGGCCTGCTTCAACCAGTTCTCTCTTAGTTCCACTCAAAACGATTCCTCTGGCAACAGACCAAAAACCAATATGATAAGTAAGCCCGCTATTTTTCAGGCCCATAACATCTAACAACCCGAATTTGTTTGCAAATAATGAGTCATAAAGTTTGTGTAACTATAGCTAACCCGGTTTGACTTATCAAGTTGAGAATCACTTTGCCCCCTATAATTTCCATATTTAGCATAAAACTATCCTGTTGTTTTATTTATCTAGTTTTTAAAGAAATACACATATTAGAGTTTAGAAATTTGTTATCAACCAAACCTCAATCTGTGATTGTGCATGTTTTGTAAAAAAAAGTGAACCTCAATCTGTAATTTATTTATTAATTTTTCCACAATTCCTTGTTATGGGAATTTATTTATTTTCTATATTTTCTGCTAATGGAACGTTTAATATTCTCTACATAAGTTTCTAAGTCATTTATGAAGTTATTTTAATTACTCTAACATATGTTTTTCCGTTAAAAATTGAAGAAATTTTTTGTAGAGTACTTGTATGATGACAGAAAAAATTATAAACATACAAAGTTGCACTGTTTGAATCACAAAGCAAAATAATTTTCAGTCAAACGGGGTAAAATGTAGAGGTGGGTAACGGTAACTTGCCCTACATTAGTCCGGCCCATAATTAGATGATAACAAACTCAGTTAGATTGGGTTGGCCTACGTTTTGAATAGGTTACCAAAAATGTCAACCGAGACCCAACTAGCTTTTTTTCTAGAATTTTGTTTACTCTATTTAAATACTTTGGCTATTGGATTTTTTTGAACTTAGATGTTTTTTTATTTCTTTTATTGAGAAAGCAAATATTTAAAATTATTAAAATAATATTTCTAAGAAAGAAACATTTAATAATTACTCACGGGTTAAACAAATCAATAGGTACAATTAAATGCATCTCTGAAAATCATGATTTAATACTAACCAACAAAAATTACACGTTCAATTGGTTGGTGATGTGCCTCTAGCAGATGTGATTTTTCAAGTTGAAATTGATAAGACATGAGTCATTAAAGAGCAATTTAAATACATATTTGCTAATTATATTGATTCTTTCTATGTCAAAGATATTTCTCACCTATTGTCGTGTTTATATAGGTAAAAGAAGAAAAAAAAATATGGAAATTATGGAAGCCTTATGATCTACACCACTCTACTAGAATTTCAATGATGCATAAAAGTCGTGAGCCAAATGGCAGAGAATTGGCGCGTACTAGCGCCAAAATGGCGCAAACTGGCGCTGGAATTTCACGCACGAGGCAGTGGCACGGCGCCTAGTGGCGCCAACTAGCGCCAAACTCATGGCCAAACCATGGCGCCTAGTGGCGCCAAAGATTAGAGGAAGAATGGCGCCAAGTGGCGCCCAAAAAGTAGAAGGATGGCGCCAACCGGCGCCAGTTTACGTATAACCGGTTTCGACTTTTCAATTCTAACAGAAGCGTGGCGCGAAGTGGCGCCGGTTTGCGGGAAGGAGTACCGTGTTTTCTCAAGGGTATTTTTGGAAGAAAGAAGCGAGATTATAAATAGGATCCTTATGACAGATTAGGGATCCAGACCTATTCTATTGAAGTGAGACGACGGTGGAGCTCCGAGAGGATTCTGAAGAGCAAGTTCTTCTTCTTCATCTTCTCTTTTACTTTATGTTTTTATGAATATTGGATTTTTAGCCATGATTATGCTTGGCTAGTTTACTTTTTATTGTAGTTAGGGTCACAAACCCTATGTGAACCCTTGTTACGACGGATTGGTTTATTTTTACTTGTTTATATAAATTGTCTTTATCTCTATCCTGTGCGTATTTATATTCTCTTTATTAGAATTGATCAATCTGATAGTTGAGGATAGTTTGAGGGTTAGAACCCTAGATAGGAATATTGGGGTTTTCATCCTGAAAGGGGGTAGGATAACGGTTCGTATGCATGCTAGGAATAGATGTGTATTGAATTGCAGATGCTTGAATTATCGTGTTCATTGCTTAATTCTCATGAGGGGTTACTAAGGGATTAGGGTTAAATTGCCAAGGAATTGAAATTTAATTAATTAATTCTAGAAGATAATTATCTGAGCATTTATATAAATAAGTATTTTTAAATCAATCCAAAGTAAGAAGTGAGGATCATAAGATGAGTGCGCTCTAGCTACAATGCTTTTCTCACATTTACAAAAATCAATTCTCAGTTTATTGTTCTATTTCTTATAAACAAAATTACAAAAACAAGTCTTTATTTTTAGTTCTCACTTTTACACAAATCGACAATATTTGTCACAAACCTTTTTGAACTCTTTCATTCTTAAAAGGAACAATTAATTGCTATACGATCACAATCCCTGTGGAGACGATACTCTACTTACTTTCTATATTACTTGTGCGATT